TCATTTCGAGAACATAAAATCCTTCAGGGACTTTTGAATTTAATATTAGCTAAATATCTAAAAAAAGAAAATCTGCTAATGATATTATGTAGCTGAACTTAAAGCCATTTACCGTGGGAGACTATATTTGATTTAAAATCAATCAAGGGTCTCTGCATGAACCCATAGACAACAAACTCGCTTCATATTCTATCACCTCGTTATTCTTATTTCTCTTTCATGCACACACCCATTTGTAACCTTCAGGGTTAATGCTCAACAATGTATTGTTATAAAGAGAATTATTCATTTTAGTGAGTCAAGCTATGCCTTAATTGCTCCTTTATACGTTAAATAGTCATGACACTTCCGGTGCCTAACTCTGGATCCAGACTATCATATAACGAGCAATCTGTAATGGCAATTGTGTTGTTGACAACTATAACCTTTTTATAAATGTCTCCCATATTTTGTAAAAATTAATGGCAATTTCTAAAACAACAAGATTCAAGACATTTCCCAAAGATATTTTGATCTGGTCGTTCCTCATCCCTAGTATTACGTTTGTTTGGTGCACCTATAAATTTACTAGGTTTTTCGTCATCTGGATGAACGTCTCCAAGATATAATTATTCAAAGCATTTCAAGAGTGACAAAGTTTCTTTACTAGATCTAGATTATGATTCTTATCTCTTTCACCGATAGATTTCCTGCATTTCTAGTGTCAAGGAGTATCGGTAGATATATTTGGTCCAAGTTGGGGAAGGTATATGAGACCTAGTCACTCTTTTATGATCATTATGATCAATAGATATGTTTGGCAAATTATTTGCTAAAGTCGTAAATAGATTATCTTTTGAACTTCTAGTACAGTCTAGCTAGTACATGGATTTAAATAATGAAGATGTTTTCATTCTATGAAATTTCTTGACATTCCAAAAAGTTAGCCTTTTATCTCCCCATAATGCGGAGAAACAATCTTCATTAAGTATGTAGTCAACGTACCTAATTATTGAATTGATCCCCCAATTCATGGGCTCTTGGTATTTAATCAACAGACGGAGGTACGTTGTGGTGGTGATATAGGAAAATAGACCGCGCACCCTAAAATAATAACGCAGACGGGGAAATGTTTGTTTTTAAACCACGTACAAGGTGAAAAGGGGTATAATTGTGATATGCAATGAGTCAGATAAGAAGACTACTGTTTGACACATTTTTTATGTCCAACAAGGTTGGTAAAAACTGAGTCATCATATTTGGTCCAAAGTGACCAAATTGCTCATGCCATGATATGAACTAGTAGAGTATCATAACACTAAAGATACTTCGTTAATGAGCCATTAATCACCCAAAGAGTAATTAATCTCCATTTTAGACCTTCCGGCTAATTAAAACTAAGTCTCTGATGTATCTTTCAAAACTTAATGACACTCAAAATTTAGTATGGGTTCGTCATGTACTGCTACTGGAGTACAACATGACTATTTTAGAAAACATTGAGACTCGCAATATGTATAAGGTGCTTATAAAGCTTCAGTTGCGTAACAATATTATATTGTACTAGTCATAATCAGAGACGAGTTAAACATTCTAAAACATTAAATTTAATCAAAGGAAGATCATAACAATTTATTGACCAAAGTAATTCTTTAGGGATTGATATAGGATATGTAGACATTCACTCTTAAGGTTTGGTCTAAGGGGTGACATAGTGATAAGTGCTAATTTTTACTACTTTTATGTGCATAATTGATATCAAACTCATATGATTTCATGTTAATTCGAAGCTAAGTATGTGCATATTTGATTCCTTTGTGTCATTTAGGTTATTTGGAGGCATTGGTTGTAACTTCATGCAAATTGGAGCTCAATTGGTTGTGTTTTGAAGTCATCTTGACAGAAAGGCAAGTTCCGGGAGTCATTAGAGGTCAAGAAAATGAAATAAAGCGAGTGGAAGTATCATGACATGACCCGAGGACCCAAAGGACAAAGGAGATGAAGAAATATGCATTTTGAAGTGAAAAACATGGGTCACATTGGTGGTCACGCCGTGATTGCCAGCGTGACACCATTCTGCTTTGTACTTTTTTCTGTTAGGCGAAGTCTGGGTAATTTGAGAATATCTCGAGCTAGGAGTGTCCAAATAGCGTGATTCAAGTGGAATTAGAAAGGAAACTCAGAGAGCTACAACTTTCATGAAAACCACAAAGGCTAGTTCGGACGTTTACAATGTGAAAAATGGTCTAGAAACCAGATATACTGTGCATAGATGCTGGTCACAGTGGCGGTCACAGTGTGACGTTGACCGTGACCAGTAGAGACCTGCGAGGGTTAGGCCTAGCCACGATGAAGGTCATGCTGTGACTAGGCATTCTGGAAGCAGTTAAAAGGGCGCAATTCCAAAAGTATAAAGAATCTTTTGGCATTATTTTCATATTTTTTTTTTCAATTTCCAATCTCCCTTTACACCTTCTCTCCATCCAAACCCTTTAGAACAAAAAATCCATTGTATTCGATCATCTTTTGGAGAAGATTTAGAGGGAGATTAACGTATGTAATTGCAACTTTCACTTTCAGTTTCAGATTTACATTCTACAAGTTCTATCAAGTTAAAGTTCTCAACTTCTTACTTTTACATTTCACATAATTTGTAGTTTTAATTTATTGTTCATTACTTTAATTGCTTTTAGTTTATCAATTTCATTATGAGTAGTTAAACTAGTTAGGGATTTAGATTGAATTGCTATGTATGAATGTCAACATTCATAAAACCTAGGGCTTGCAATATCTTTAGATTGAATTTTATTGTGAATTTGGTAAAATATTTTGACTCTTGCTTGGTTAGGGCCCAACTTTGTAAGGGGATTTTGGATTTGGTGCTTCACCTATGAGAATAGGGATTCACCATAGCCAAACCTATCACAATTCTAACTCACTCTTGAGAAAGGGGAGTTGGAAGGGATATAGCACACAAGGTATTTGATTAATTACCTCAACTAGTCTATTTGCCATGAGAATGGAATTAGAACTTAGGTGATAGCCCAATGACCATGAGAATGGCATTGGCACTTGCTAAACGCCTTTACTTTCATTATTGGTATTTATTTGCCTTAGAATTTAGAACACTAAGAAGCATTTGTACATTGCAGTCCTCTCTTTTATCTCTGTCCACTACTTAATCATTTAGTTGTTTTAAAATTGTCTCTATCAAACAAATATTCCATTTTGGTTAGCTTTCAAACACTTAATGATCTTGTGTTTAACCCCTCTCTACTCAATTCCCTTATAGCCATTCCTAGAGGACGACACTCACTAAAACATCACTGCTAAAATCAACTTTCACATAGTAAAATTAGAGCTCTTAATTTACCTTCTGGGTAAATATATATATTCACAATCGAGAGTTATAATTTTAAATCCCGATATATGAGATAAATTTGAATATCCAAGACTCATGTGAAATAATTTCTATAACAAATTAGCACTTTAGACGCGCATCCGTTTTCTTGCTCTTTAGCACTGTCAACTATCAAACTCTATCAATTGACTTTTAAAATAATACCAAGGCAGCTTTATATTGAAAAAATTGTCAAAGTGTTGTTATATCTAATTTGTGCTATGACTTGTTACCTTCTGGGTATTGTTATATTTCAAAGTTCAGGTTGTAATATCATTTACGAGATGTGAGATAAATCTCAACGTACATGGCCTATAGCAAATAATTGACAACTTGACAACATCAAATAGAAGTTCAACAGAGAGCACATACTCCAAGTCATAGAAGATGAATACCTGGCGATGTATGGATTAATTATAAACATCCATCAAGTACGTAGGCCTGTTCAATCAATTTCAATAATTGCATATTCTCGAGTTTGACGGTCCGTCCATTCCAAAGCTAGACCAAGAAAAGTTGTCAACAACTGTGACAATGCTAGAAAAACATGTTTATGATCATCCCAACGGTAAATCTCAAAAACATTCATGTCAAATGATTGCTACCTTTAAGTGTTAACATAGTAGACAGACACGAATTTGTATAATATGCAGTAATTAGGTTGTGAATAAACACCAAAAGCATATCATAATTCATAACATACGATTAATCCCCGTTAAAACAAATAAATATTTTTCTGCACTACTACAAAAATGGGTATATAAGTACTACTTTACACTACACCTCTTGATGAAGGTGTAGTGGAAAGTTGAAAGAAATAAGAATCCACTACACTCTTAAAATAAAGGTGTAGTGCAAAGTAATTTCGAAATTAAAAAAAAAAAAAAACCTTTCGCGACAGCCTCTCACATAAGGAGCCGCGAAAAATTAAATATTAAAATATTTAATAAACTGTCTGCGGCACCTGCCTGGAGAGGGTGCCGCGGAAAGTTTATTATTATTTTATTAGACGACTTTCTGCCATTTTGCAAAATCAACGCCTATGCAAAATTACCCTACCCGCTTTAGACTTGGCATTTTCCGCCATTTCGCAAAATCAATGCCTTAACTTCTCCGCCTGAGACCATTGTCGACGACTTAGCATCTCCGCCTGAGACCATCGTCCGCCTTTTTCACCGACGACGACAGCCATTCTGACGACGACTTAGTTTCTCCATTTTCGCCCTGCCTTCCGTCGCCCTTTCTCCGCCGACGAAGACAGCCGACAGCGACGACGACACCGCCCGGTCGCCATTCATTGCATTTTCCTCTCCCTTTTCGCCACCGCCCTCCCTCTACTGGAGCTGCCGATTCCTCCCGGTATGTGTATTTATTTATTTTATATTTTATATTTAATTTATTTCAAATGTTTTAAATTTATTTCAATGTGGATTGTCTGATGGTAGTTCTGGTGCAATATTAGTGTCTATTGTCTGTTGGATGTGAATTGAACTTGAACTGCATTTTGTCAACAGGTTACGCAACAACAAACGTTTCGTGCAATTTTATTGCCTGCAAATGATTAACAAATTTATAGCGTGTAAAATTTTGATACTGTATTTTTCAGGCCAATGATGCGCAACTTAGTACAATGGTTGCTGAACAGGTATGCGCGCGGTTTCATTTGAAAATTTAGTTTTCATCGCTTAATGTTTCTTACGTTTTCATGCACAAAAATCTGGTTTCTAGGTTGAACAAGCACAAGCTAGTCTTGAATCGCTTTCTTTTTCTCAGAAGACCATAAATTAGCTCCTAGAGAACTTCATTTCTATTGAAAAGTATAAATATATTCATTCTCTATGCTTTTAAAATCCATATGTTTGTAAGAGAGTACATGTTTATCTTTGAAGTGTCATTGTTATCTTTTTATTCAATATCTCACAACATTTCAATCTCAAGGTTCCCCCCCCCCCCCCCCCCCCATTTTCAGGCTATGCACAGAATGCCAAACTTTAATTTAAAATCATGATCAGATAAAGATTTCTTAGTAATGCAATGAATAACCTAAACACTACTTTGAAGGTGGATGCTTCTCTTTTTTAATTGCTCATGAGCTGTTCAATAAGTTAAGGAGTATTAGTGACTTAGTGTAGGCAGTTAATTTGAATAAAATAAGGGATGTTTACTAGAAGTTCATCATGTCACTAAATTATGGTGTGGGGCAAGCAGACTCATTGATTTATCCCAGCTATCATTAATTATGAATTTGGTACATTTAGTTTGGTACATTAATTATCATTAGTTTGTATGTTTGGCATACTTCAAATTTCCACTGAGTGGCTATGACTAGTGATTCTTTTCTACTGATATTTGGTTGGGGCTGACAAGTGATCTGTGTAATATATGGGGTTTGGTAATTTATCTGTTGCAGGATATAGAGGGAATGATGTCAATTTTTGTTAAGGCTGTTGAAGCTGTATGCTATAAAGGTATGAAATACAAGGATTTGATTCCAAATAATATGAAAAGTATAGAGATTTTGATTACAAAATGTGGTTTATGTATTTCTTGATTCATTAAATTAGGTAACTGGTTGGGTGGTTGAGTACCAGGAGAGTTTAATTTCACTTGGAGTTGATGAGGCTTTGCCTCAAGTTTGTTCTGAAAGTGGTTCAATGGATCCCCTCTGTTGGTCCCGATAGGGTGGTAAAAAGTCTAGAGGGGGGTGAATAGACTTTTAAAATTTTTTCACAATAAGTAACACTTTGGTAATTTCAACTCTAAGTAACAAGATATTTAACTTAGATACGCAGCGGAATAATTAATCAACCAAGTGTTACGTAAATCAAAGAGATATATCACATGCAATATTATGGATATGCTCAGTATGACTCAAATAATAAGTATGCAAATTTATGCCCACATGCATACGTGAAAACTACTAGACCCAAATGAATAATTCGCACAATAGAAGATGGGTTAGTTAAATATTCAACATGCAAGACAACAAAATATTTAAAGAGATGGTTCACTCAATATGTATGCAATATCACGTGTGAATCAATGAATGAATCCAAAAGGAATTGTGTCTGCATGCACTTGTAAAGTCACATAACCCAATCAATAAGATAAATAATGAATAAGACGAATAGTAAATGGGTAAGTATGCATGCAATAATAAATAAAAGCAGTAAGTAATTGACAGATAGGCAATTTATAGTGGTTCAGAGGTGGTGTAATCCTCCTAGTCCACTCTCCTCCTTTCAATCCAAGGAGGAAATTCACTATCTCGTTCACCCAGACACAAATAGTGAATCAAGTGCACACAGGCACTTCCCGAGTGTTTTGCACACAGCTACACTCAATCCCGAGTATCTCGCACAAAGCTATACTCCCGAGTATCTCGCACAAAGCTATACTCCTACACCAACTAAGTGTCTTGCACTCAGCTACACTTAGCACCACTGAGCGTCTCGCACACAGCTACACTCAGCAACCACGAGTGTCTCGCACAAAGCTACACTCACGAGTGTCTCGCACAAAGCTACACTCAACAGGGTAGTGTCTTGCACAAAGCTACACTCAACCCTCTTTCTACACACAGTAGAGGTAAGATTTAGAGAAAACAAATTTCTCTTTTAAGGACTTGAAGTATCACTCGTGAAAGCTCAAAACTGGATATTTCGAATTTTTGCTCTTTTATCTTTGTTGTATTTCTCTTTTTATTGCCTTGCCTTCTCTTATCTGCTCTTTTGTTCTCTACTTCATGTCTTCAAGTCATCTGGTATATATAGCTAAAGAATCTATATTACCGTTGTAGCATCACTTGATCTTGATCGTTCATCTTGATCAGCTACACATCATTGCCAACTTGCGTTGCGGTGATTTAATGCAAGAGATGTGCTTCTTAAAGTGAGTTTGAAAATCCTCACCTGACAAATCTTCAAAGTCGTATATGTCGGCTCATCAGCTGAATCTTCTCCGAAAAATAATTTTCTTATCTTGATGGATTCAAAATGATGAAATCTTCCAAAAGATTTGCTGCTGATTCTTGCTTGAGTAAAAATTATATCTTCGTCCATTTCTTCTTCGGAAATGATTTGAGATGCATAGCAAGAGATTTAAATGAGGAAGAAGATGTGTAGAAGAATTCACGTGCATCTTCCTTATCATGTCCACAAGCTTCCAAACTTATAGTCAACTTAGAATTCCATGTGTCCACATTGTAGCATGCACCTATCAAGTGTCATCTTTCAAAAATATACTTCCAATGAGATTTGAAAATGAGCCCAATAACATATATCTCCCAAGCTTTTACCACTACACCATATTAACTCATTAATTAATATTTATGGATTTAATCTTTATTCCCAGAATGGCTTTAGTAGCATTTTAGATTAATTCACAAATTAATCTGAGTCTGCCTCTTGGTCGTCCCCTTCTTTATCTCTTACTCAAAAGTGAAGAAATTAAGTCTCGAACCCATGACCTCACTTTAGCAACCTTCTTCCTTATCCACTTCACCTTCATCCTTTAATGTTTTCCAAGGTAAATAATTCCCAAATAGTAACATTCTGGATAAGTATATTTTGCTAAGAATTTCGTACACTTTATGGCTTGATTTGGGACTCAGACTAATAGACAACTAGACTCAAAAATAAAATAGGGGAGTTCTAAAAATACAAATTTGGCTCATCAAAACTATTACATTTTATTCATAACAAATTCCCTTTTTTTGATGATGTCAAAACCTATACCCGAACATTTTAGCTTAGTCCAGTCAAAAACAATAATCTTTTATTTTTCTTTCTTTTATTTTATTTTGACTAGCCAATTTGATGAGTTTAACAATTTTGGACCTAAAGACTTTTTACTCTTAGACACGTAAAAAAAAAAATTGTTGCAATTTTTTGAGGATTAATTTTAATTTCTTTTGTCACTTTGTTTTCTTCCCTCAAATTGCATTTACAATGCTAATCATGTGTCTAAAAGTTAAAAAGAATAAAGCTAAATAAAATATGACTAGATAGATTAATTGCATCAAATTCAACAAGCCATATTACAAACTTAGCAAAATGTACTGTAATGTTAAGCATTTTCACGGTCCAATCATGCTATTTACTCTAGCTCTTAGCTTAATAAAATTACCTTTGCAATTAGCATGATAATATAACTGCTCCACTTGTCCTTTAAGATAGCATGAAAAAGCTCCACGTACATCTCCCTTGCTTGTGGGAAAAACATTTCGAGTGTACCATTTGGCACATTCGAATATGCTCCTTCCTTCCTTTAGTTCGTACACATCTGGTACGAGCGCTGCAAAGGCACCAATGACATCTTCATTTGGTGAACTTCCTTCCCCCTGAAGGTATGCACTGCTCGAACTGCTCGAGCCTTGTCCACCATGTCCAAATCCACCACCAAAATGAGAGGGTTGTTCTGTTTCCACCTTTTTGGTGTCATCAAAAATCATCTTGACCATATCAGTGCCCTTCTTGGATAAAGTCACTATCTCATTGACCACCGAGTCGGTACACAAAGTCGTGCTAGCCATTCCTTGGAGAAAATCCTTAATTGTGGATAGCTCCTTCTTGATCATTCAGATATCTCCTTCATGGGTGTCAATCTTTTCAATTGTTTTTCATATATCTTCAACCTCCATGCACACTTTGAAAAGTAGCTTCTCATGCCTAATTTTGTGCAACATATTCTCAGCATGGTGAGACTTTTCAAGATTGGCTTGAGCACTTTTTTCCTCCTCAAGAGCTATAGTTAACCTGTCAACAAAAGAATTCAAAAACTCAACAGTTATTGGGTTAGAATTTTCATCACGTGCTCCAATGGCCTCCTTCCGTTCCTTCAAGGCTTTGATCACCTCAACATTAGAACCTTTTGCTTTGTCACTTTTGTTAATTTCCTCATCTTCATTCGAATTTTCTTCCAAAATATCAACAACAATATGTTCATCATCATCCTTTTGAACTTCATCCTCCTTTGCTTGTCCATCCATCTCAACATCTTCTTATTGTTCTCCTTCCTTGGCCTCTGGATCAGCCCCTAAATTAGCTGGTAACACTAGTTCATCATCCATCATAAAATCAGTGTTCAAATCTGCCACAAAATTAGTATCCAAATCAGCCATAAGGCCATCCCCTGTGTCGTCTCCCTGGTCATCCCCTGTGTCATCCCATGCTTCTTCTTCTTGAACTGCTTCAACTTTTTCTGTCTGGATGGTGTTGGAAGCATCCAAAGTCTCATTCTGCTCATCAATAACTACTGTCCGATCTTCAACAACCGCATCTTGATCTATAATCTCAATTCTTGGGGTTCTTTTCTTCCTAAAGACACGGCTTAGTGGAACATCATCATCTTCTTCATGAACATCTTCTTCTACCCTTTCTCTTTTAACATTTATTCGAAACAAATATTTAATAGAGAGAATTGGTTTCCTATCCTTCATCTTGATGCCTTTTCTCCTCAAAAGTTCACCAATCATAAGACCATAACTAGGCTTTTCTTCTCCATTCACCATGGTAATCAATCGGTTGAAAATCACTTTACTCCAGTTTAGTTTCTTTCCATGAATCACAGCATGCATCATACTAGCAATGTAACACCCCCCAAAAACAAGGCCCAATTGAAGCCCTAACACAAGCAGATTAACAACAAAACTAGCACAGCGGAAGATAAACGGAAACTGGATAAAAGAAATCCAAAAAGGGGTGTTATGCCACGTATACCACACTAGGTAACGCTAAGGCAACAATCTGCATGTGTATAATACTATCCCAATACATCAATCTAAAACAGTCTAAAAACATTGGCGCACAGGCCACAAAAACACAAAGGTGCTAAGCTACCAGGCTCTAGACATCGCTCTCGTCTAAACACCACCTGAAAGATACAAAGATAAACATTGGGACGACGCCCGGTCAGCGAATAATGCTGGTAACCCACCAATACCGTTAAGTATCATAAATAGGTAGATATAAGATATAAAAACCATTTTCGAAACGGAATACATATATATAAGTCAAAAGCCAAGATCACCAGTCAACACAAGACTCATCACTCTCAAGACCACACGGGAACACATCCCAAACCAC